AATGGTGACAGTGCTAAGAGGAGCAAGGTTGTCAAAGCTTTCAAGCATGTTGTTGCTAAAGTTGAAAAGGGTGCCCTTGAAGATAATGAAAATCCATGGTCTTCATTCATTTCTTCTGCTGATTGTACATGTGATGCTGTGGTAGATTATAGTTATTCGAATGTGAAGAGCAAAGAAGATCTTGATGACATCCATTGTTCCTTTGATGATTCAAGTGATGGTAGCTTCTCTCCCCCGAGGATTGATTTTGAAAATTGGGAAAATGGAGAAGCAAAAGTTGAGACTTCCAATGTTCCTGAGAATACAAGTGAGCTTACAAATGAAGCAGTTGGCAATAATAATGAACTCTCTGGAAATAGTGAAGTATTCTCTGATGAACAAAGCGGGGTTGGTAATAAAGTTGCTGGTAAAAAGCGATTCACGAAACTTACAGTGGGAAAGAAACGTTCCTCTCTAAAAGATCTTGACGTTAATGATATTGTTGCTGAAGAAGAGAGTAGCAGTCGACCTTCTAAGAGATGCAAGACTGATACCAAAAACCATCCTCAGTCTGATATCCCTGAAAAAGTCCAATCTCAGAGAGAAATGCCTGTGTTAACAAATGCTTATGAACCAGGTGAAGAAACTGACAGAACAAAAGTCAAATCCCCAAGGAAATTGCAACACGTGGCAGGAAAAGTCAAAGAGGCTTTGGATCAATTCAGGGCAACAAGTTTAATTGAAAAAATAAGGAGTAGAGTTAAGCAACATCAGAAAGTTTACAACACTCCAGGTATTTTATCAAGCAGTGCAGGACAGACAAAACGAAGAATCCTCCCTTCACGTTCAAAGTTAAAGACTGATGATATTATTCAGCATATCAATAGCTGTTCTAATGTACTTAATAAATTAGAAGAGACTCTGAATAGCCATGCATTTCAGACAATAACACAAGCAGATAAATGGAGGTAAGTACTCATATTTTTGCTTTTGAATGAGCAATTGTGTTAATGTAACAATTGTGGCAGTAATGTTTTTAAAGCACAATTTTAAACTAGGCGGGCAGTATACCTGTAATATCCATTTTTATTCAATGTCATGTGACTGCGTTGTAACCAATCACAGCAACCAAGTGCAACAGCAGTGACATTTGATAACTGTGTTCTATGTTTTCCAATGCAACGATAATTTTACTCACTTTTTAGCTTCGCTGTTGACTTTGTCGAGCGGAGCTTATCATATGAGTGATTGTCCGTCGTCGTCCGTGTCAATGTTTTATTTTTTTGACTTCTTCTTGCAAACTACAAGCCTGCTTTGATACTTGGTGTATATGTACCTTGGGTAGACCTCTCTCGGATTTGTTCATTTCATGATATCTTCAATTCTCTAATTTTGGTGAATATTTTTGTCAGTTTTGGTAAAAAGTGATATTTTGACTTCTACCGGTAGTTAAAAAACGCAAGTCCAATTGCTTTGATATCAAATATATAGGTACTACATGTGGACCTCTTTCAGATTTGTTAATTCCGTGTGATATCTTCAATTATCTAATTTTGATGATTATTTTGGTCATTTTTGGTGAAAAGATATTTTTGAATTCTTGTTGAAAACAGCAAGTCTCATTGCTTTGATACTATACATATTGTTCATTTTCTAATGATATCTTCTGTTCTTTAATTGAAATGTGCATTGCTAACAGCGGAGCTATCTCAGCCGACAGGCTGCTTGTTTTATGTAATTGAACATTTCCAATCACTGTGACACTGTTGGTTATAACAATGTTCAATTATCAGATGTAGTTATGAAAGTTGCACTCAATTATAAACTCTCGATATAACCAATCTGCAAATACTGGAATTTTATATTATTTGCTTCTACAGAGAAGAACTTGAAAAACTTAGAGAGAAGTTGAACCTGCCTCCTACAACAATAGCTGTTGTCGGAGATACAGGTGCTGGTAAAAGTTGTTTGATGAATGCCTTGCTGGACGAAGAGGCTGTACTTCCTACATCTGGGATGAGAGCCTGCACTGCAGTGGTGGTAGAAATTGCAGAAAATGTCAAGTCCAATAAATTCGATGCAGAGATTAAATTTCTTTCGGTCAAGGTAAAATTGATTATTATGTAAATACAACTGATGACTTCTACTGACTCGTGTATTACGATTGTAGTTGTTTAAAACACTGAAAAAAAAAACCATGGTCTGTATGAAAATGAAGTAAATGAATATTGAACCAATCAATGAATATTGTTGCGGCGTATCACTGAAGATGTTATGTATGACGAAGATTGCTATGCATTGTGCATCATAATGGTTCCCTTCACATAAATGAAATGATGACTACTCGACCCTTAGTTTTCACATCGCATTTCACATGACATTAGTCTTGTGTAAAGCTACTTTGCCCTTGTAATTGTCTCAAATAATATTTCAGTGAGATTATGTCATCTTTATGTGATCAAAATCACAGCTGTTGCTACTTTAAAGATCGAAATTTACGTCCCATGGTATGGGCGGAACTTAGTATTCTTATTTAATTCTTCAACAACAGCAACTGTCAGTTGTTTATCGTACGCAGTTAGCCAACTGCTGAGGTGAAACGAAATGCATCCTTTCAGACCTACCTTCCATGAGCTCACAGGCATCAGTGGCTTGGATAGATCACTGGGTCATACTTTTTTTTTTGAACTTGAGTCGAACTGTTCATATAGGTGATTGTCCATCCATCCGTCATCTGTCAACAATTGCATTTTTGACTTCTCCTTGAAAACTACCAGCTAGATTGCTTTGGTACTTTGGTAACCTCTGTCAGATTTGTTCATTTCATGACAATATCTTCAATTTTTTGGTAAAAAATTTTTGAATATTTCTTGAAAACTACCAGCTCGATTGCTTTGATATGTTATATTTATGTGTGTTGGGTTGACCTCTAACAGATTTGTGTCAGTATCATTTATTCTCTATTTTTGGCCAATATTTTTGTCAATTGATAACTGTGAAACTGCTTCGTCAAAGTTGGTGTTTCTTTAGTGGAATCAGAGAATCAGAATGATACAAGGCACCACTATCAAGTCTCCATTTGGGCCTCTTGATATACTATGTCAGTTTTTAAATATTTGACAATATCAAGTGTATCATCACGGATGATGTCTGAAGTAACTAGGTTTTAAATTTTTGTTCCGTCAGTCATGAATTGCAGTAAACAATTTTAAATGCAGGAACAAAACAGATTGCTCTGTCTCATCAATCTTTTTTTAATCCATTTAGGAATGGGATGATGAATTGAAATTATTATTGTCTGAATTGATCGGTGATGACGGGAAGATCCGAGGTAGACCTGATATAAAGTCAGATGTTGGGATAGCATACAGTAAAGTGAAAGCAGTGTATGGGAAGATTGCAAAATACAAAGAATTGTCTAAAATGAAAGATGTCACCAATAAGCTGGGAACAACTGAATATATTTCATGCCTACGAGTAAGTCAACCATTTAGTTTTATTTAAGATGGAAATCACTCAGTGTTTATGTGGCTTGAGTTAAAACTACACAGATTACCACACAAGAAAACTAAATTTCCATGAATAGTATTTGCAGTGAAAAAAGTTAGATGAAATGTTGTTAGTTGTTGGTGGGAAATTAGAGAACTGCCAGAATCTTGTCAATTTAACAACAGTCATATGACTTCTGAATTCTAGGGTACACAATATATCATTTCGTAATCAGTATTTTTTTTTTTTTTTTTTTGATGAAATTTTGTAATGGTAAAATTTGGACTCTTGTGGTTGGTCCAAATTTGTGAGAGTATTATAGTGGTGAAATGGTTTACAATATTGTGGTTGTTGTATTTATGTTGATATTAGTTGGCTTTTGATAATAATTGTAGTGTTCTTGACTTTGAATTAGTCAGTCTGTCAGTCAGTCAATCAGAACAAACATAATTATTCAATTTTCCTTCTCTTGTAGCCCCGTGAATTCAGACGACAAATTGATCGATACATCGATTCCAATGATAATGACACCAAAGCATCACGCAGTGGCGGCCAGTTTTGGCCAATAGTGAAGCAAGTAAAAGTGAAGATACCACATTGTGATGTGTGTAGCAGTGGTGCAGTCTTAGTTGATTTACCGGGCATCAGAGATTCAAATGCCGCTAGGGATAATATTGCCAAAGAAGTGAGTAGTGTGCATTCTACTGTTCTGTTGTTGTTTTTCAGTTATTTGTTGGTTGGAACCACGTGCATACTTCTTGATATATGTATATGCAGTTCATTCATACCTGATAAGGCTGTAAATGCTAGTGTTTTTGCTCTATTAGTGGCACATGCGGTGAAGTAAATTACGCACATCTTCGGTCAAAATAAGTAATATTTTAATGATCCAGGATACAATACATGTCTAAGATGTTTCTATAACAGAGCATATATAGAAGACATAATTATCTCCAAGTCATAAGGAGTTCTTTATCAAAAAGACCAAAACATAGTTTTTGTCAACATGTTTATTAACCTGCCTGTAAATGTCACCATCATTTTAGCTGGTCTTACAGTAAGTTCTGTTATGAGTGAGCCATGGAATAACAATGATATTTTTGTCCCAGGTGACAATTCATGACATTGAATGTCACTGTTGTCTCCTCTGAATTATTTTTCATGTGCAAGTGTATAGTGCTGACCAATAGTGCATTTTTCCACAGTGATCGTATTCATGTTTGGGGCTACATGATGGCTGTATGACCATTTTTCTATCAAATGGCAATTTAATGCGCTATCCTGGCGTCAACCATGCTCAGTCAAACACAGGCACCTGCAAACCTTAACCAAGGTTCCCCCGAAGTTGCATCCGTTTGTGAATGAATCTCAGCATGTACTTTTGGCCTTCTCATTGAGTCTGCGGTTCACTCACCCATTTGGTATATTGTGTTCAATCCGAGGTAGGATTTAAACACGGATCTACGAATCATTAGTTTGATGGAACAACCACTACGCTACCAGTGTCCTGTCACTGTGCTAATAGTTCAGAATTTAGTGTTTATGCAATAGCTTTTTGTAACAATTTGTAACAGTTGTTCAAAGGTCTATACAAAAATACTGACTACTCAAGTTAAAATCATTTAAGATTTGCTAAATCTGTTAATTTTAATTTTTATTATGAAGTACTTAAAGACTTGTACGGCTGTGTGGATTGTTGCTGACATAACAAGGGCTGTAGATAACAAGACAGCTAAAGATTTGCTTGGTGAAAGTTTTCGTAGACAACTGTTGATGGATGGGCAGTATGGAAGTATAGGATTTATCTGCACAAAGAATGATCTCATTAATCCTTCTGAGATTATCAGGTAAATATCTTACTAAACCATCTGAGATTATCAGGTTATCTCACTAATACATTAAAACTTATCAGATATTATCTCTCTCAACTGAGATTATTAGTTACTCAAATTAATCCATCTGAGATAGTCAGATAATCAAACTAATCCATCTGAGATAGTCAGATAATCAAACTAATCCATCTGAGATAGTCAGATCATCAAATTAATCCATCTGAGATTGTCAGACAATCAAACTAATCCATCTGAGATAGTCAGATAATCAAATTAATCGTTAGATAATTAAATTAATCTATCTGAGATAGTCAGATAATTAAATTAATCTATCTGAGATAGTCAGATAATTAAATTAATCTATCTGAGATAGTCAGATAATCAAATTAATACATCTGATATTATCAGATATTCAGATTAATTCATATGAGATTGTCAGATAATCAACCAATCCATCTTAGATTATCAGATAATAATTAAATTAATCCATCTGAGATTGTCAAATAATAATTAAATTAATCCATGTGAGATTATCAGAAAATAATTAAATTAATCCATCTTAGATTATCAGATATCATTAAAATTAAGGCATTGTTAGCTGTGTTGATATCAT